GCCAGAGTTATTTTTAACACCTCTGAGTCATCTGTAGATATTCATATATCTAAAACATTTGTGAGTCAGTTTATAAAGCTACCCTATTGTGGAGGTGTATTTATTATTGTCACTGTTTTACAGATGAGAAAATTGAAGCCCAGCCAATAAACCACTTGCTCATGGTTCTGTTACTAAGATACAATAAGGACTGGAAATCTAAAATTTCAATTCTAAATCACTACATAACTTTCCAATATTCCTGGCAGTTTCTATGCTCTCTTTCTGCATGGGAAGTCAAAACTACTCTTCCCCATATACAATTCTGGTTTCTTTATTCCTATGGATTTTGTGCCTCAGCTACTTTGGCGTAAACCTACCATCTGCTGGTCATTCTCTAGGATGAACAAAAGCCTCTCTCCATTTAATGTCCTCTTCATTCTCCCTGGTTTCTTTAAAAACTCCAAATTCAGATTGGAGTGTGGCTCAAGTGATAAGAGTCCAACCAAGCAGGAGTCCCTGGTTTCGAGGCCCAGTACTGCCAAAGCAAAACATCAAAGCAAAGCAAAGCAAAACTCTCCAAACTCTTTTATTCCTCAGAGTCAGTATAAGTGGGAGAGAACAAAGGTCTGCTGGGTATGCTACTGTATTCTTAGGGCACTCATTGGGGGTTGAGGGGAACCACAATAAAATAAAAACATATCTAAAAGCCAGTTAAATTTTTATTATTAAGTCTGTTCCAATCCATGTAAAATTTAAGAGAGAATTTCCTCAAAGGTTACTACATCAGAGATTTGACATGTCATGAAATTTTTATTTGGAAATGATCATCTATATTTTAAAAGAAACTGGAGAGACCTGAAGAAAATGGAATCAAAGGGAAATGGTGGCAATCCCTTTTTAATGCATGTGTTTGAAAGACTGAAGTTTATAATCTGAATAAGGGAAGTAACCCAAAGAGGCCTCTGAGAATCCTGAAAGGAAGGAGAAAGTCCAACTTGGCCACTGAGCTAAACAAAACAAAACAAAAAACTGCAGGCCCTGATCTTTTAGGAGTTCTGGTGTACCTGTAGACAGTCAGACTCACCTGTGTTCACAGTGTTAATCCAGAATTGCTAATTCATTCATCTCAGGCAGGTGATACCAGATAGACACAAGCACAGACTCTTATTTCATATTTTCCTTGAAACAATGGAACGAATGACATCCACCTGCACCCAGCAGGTGACCTTTTTCTCTCCTGTGAAATTGGTCTGACAATTTACCATGAAGGCTTGGGGCACTTATTTACCCCTATACACAAAGGACAGAGAGGGCAGACATGATCAGCTCTGCATCCTTTTAACCTCTTCACCTTGAGCATCATAAAAGCAAATAAAAGGTAACAGAGAGTGTTAAAAGGAGGTTTATTAATTCTGTTTCTGCTTTTTTCTGTTAAAAAAATTTTTTTAAAAAAGCTGGAAGAGTGGCTCAAGCAGTAAAGTTGCCTGCTTAGCAAGCACAAAGCCTTGAGTTCAAATCCCAGTGCCACCAATAACAATAATAATAATAACAATAAATACATAAATAAATTAAGGAACTAGAGGTGTGGTTCAAGTTGTTAAGGACATACTTAGCAAGCACAAAGCCCTGAGTTCAAATCCCAGTGCTGCCATAAATAAACAAACAAATAAATAAATAAATAGGGCTAGGGTGTGGCTCATGTGGTCGAGCACCTGCCTAGGAAGCGTGAAGCCTTGAGTTCAAGCCCCAGAACAGCAAAAAATAAATAAATAAATAAAAATAAAAGGAGATTCAAAGTGCACTATTTAAGGAAAACTTTAATTTTTCTTTTTTTTGGTGGGACTGGGGTTTGACTTCATAGCTTATGCTTGCAAAGCAGGTGAGCTACACCTCCAGCCCATTTTTACTCGGGTTATTTTGGAGATGGGGTCTCATGAACTATTTGCCCACCCTGGCCTTGAGCCTCAATCCTCCTGACATCAGCCTCCCAAGTAGCTAGGATTACAGGAATGAGTCACCAGTGTCTAACTAGAAAAAAAATTATTAGCATAAATCAATTGTACAAAAGGGGGTTTCACTGTGAGGAAAACTTTACTCTTGTCACAGGGATATAGTTTAGCAATTGAACCAGAAGTAGGATCACTTTAACATTTAGATTTTCGTAAGTCTTTTATAAAGACACAGTCTTATACATAAACTGCAACATCTTATAGAAGATAAACTATTTTATATAATTACCTATAAGAAAAGAGAAATCTTTTTTTTTACTGTTTTACTTATTTTATACCATTGCTTGTTAATTACTTTTAGGTGCTTCCTCCTGCTTTATAGCCTCTATTTTCTTTTCTTCCACTTATCATCCTCAGAAACATTCCTATAACTACAATCACACTTGACTTTCTGGTCCTGTTCCTCCTCCATCCCCAGTCTCATTTGCCGCCTCTCTTCCTGAATGTGGCTAGATTTGAATGAAGAACCTTGGGTGGATATCCCTTAGCTTTTTATCTTCTGTGCCTATGAAAAAGATAACCTTTTCCACTTGTTCATTTTAATAATAAGATACAATATCACTCTGGAAAGGCAAGAAGACACTTGTAAATATGTCCATTGTCTTTCATGACTCAGAATATGCAAGCAATTCATACCAAGAACTTGCTTACAGTGTATTTTTTTTAATTTATCTAATTTTATTTTCTGTCATGTGTTCTCTACTAATGAGACAGAAAGCTCATCTCCCCCTTGTGGTTCCTGTTTGTGTCTGCCTTTTGTAGCTCCAATTTCTTCCTGCAATCAGTCTCAATCAAATGCTGCTAAAGAATCCTAAGCCTCAACTCTACCATCACTTTCCTGCTGAGACCTTCAGTGACTCTCTACTACCTGTAGAATAAAATCCAAATACCTTGGCACAGTCCACCTGAAATTCTTATATGAAATCCTACACATTCTTCAATGCCGAAATTCCTTTTTCTCAATCCCCCTCCTACACTGCAATCTGCCAGTAAATAATTATAGGTATTTGTGCTTGTTTTAACTCTCAGATGTTTTGTGAGAATCTGGAGAGTAGGAAAGGACAGTGTTTTTCATGTTCCTGTTGATCATGCAGTTCTTTGCACACATAATATACATTCAATAAATAGCTGTAGAACTCAATAAAATAGATACAATGGTTATTAAAATTAAAAGTTGTTATTAGACTATAAAGCCAGAGAAAGAATTCAAAGGTTGTTTGAGAGAGGGAGTTGTACAGCCCTGTACAACAAGAATATAATGAGAGCTACATGTGTAATTTAAAATTTTCTAGTAGCCACATTTTTAAAAGATGAAATTAACCTTAATAATACAGTTTACTTAAATGCTAATTACTCTGATTTGATCATTATGCATTGTATACGTATATCAAATTACCATACTGTACCCTAAAAATATGTACAAATATGTCAATTAAAAATAACTTTTTAAAAAAAATGCATGTTACTTAACTCAACATATTAAAAATAGTAAAAATATGTAATCAAGTACAATTATTGAGCTATTTCACATTTCCTTTTATACGTGTATTCAAAATCTAGTGTACATACAGCCCATCTCAGTTCAAACTTGCCTCTTTTAAAATGAATTATAGCCTTTGTGGCTAGTGGCTACTATGTGAAAAGTTGTGAGGGACAGACAGAGTCTTAGTCTGACTGTGTCTGACTACTGAGTGGCTGTGTTACCATAGACAAAACTTTTAAACACTTTTATTTCTTTCTTACCAGTCATATAGGGGTTGTAATTGCATTAAATTAGAAACTGAAATGAGGACACTTTGAAAGGTTGAAAATGTCATGCACATGGGAGGTATTATAATTTTTCCAAGAATGAAGTAAACTGTGATGGAACTAGTTCGTGCAGTGCTTCTTAGCATACCTGTGATTTTCAGTAAACTTTATAGATCCTTACCAGAGACTAAGAAGATACTAAAGGTTAAATTCAAGGTTATTTTAACTATGGAGACCTAATTCTCATATTAGAAAACCCTTGCTTTGAAATGGTTATTAATCTTTTCTTTAAAGAATCTGGACCCCAGAGTCTCTTATATTCCTCAATCTTTCTCCTCTGATTTGGCCACAATATAGCAGGGTTAAAGGAAGATGATGATGTTCCCATTAAATGTCTCCCATTGGAGTAGTTGGGTTTGATGAAAACAGGTTGACCAGAAACACAGGAGATTCGTATTCAGGTTAAGTACATCATTGTGAATAATAAGATGCTCCCAGACAGAGGGAAAGGAAGAGACAGGGTGCCAATCATAAATCTTTTGAGATCCAAGGGATCAGGAAATGATGCTGGCATAATTGGCCTGGCCTTCTATTTACAGTGCTTCCTCACCACTGAGGTGCTTCTGTGAGACACACACACACACACACACACACACACACAGAGAGAGAGAGAGAGAAGAGAGAGAGAGAGAGAGAGAGAGAGAGAGAGAAATACATTTCCCATCTTTATGTCCTCCGGAGGGCTCCGTAATGGACATTCAATATTAACATTTTAAGTGTTATTTTTAGAAGATTCTCTGCAGAGTTCTAAATGACTCTTCCCAAACTCTTCAATTATTGTTTACTCGCCCGCCGTGTTCTGATCTCTTACCACTTCCTTGCTCTAAGAATTGGAACAGAAAGGTATTTGAAGTATTCATTCCAGGTTTTTATACGGAGTAAGCTGAGTTTTCCCTCTCTTGTGTAATTGTGATTTTGCCTGTCAGCCTAAGCTTAGAAACACCTATTTAAAAGTTCTCTTAATTCAAGACCCACTTCTCCTTTTCGCCACATCTACCAATCCTCAGACCTTCCTCCTCTTTCTGACTTCTGAGATCCTACCACTTGCCCACCCTTGTTGCCCTGGAGACCGAGGTGCTCCCTGTCCTAGCAACAGTTGCCAAGGGGCGGAGACTTCGAATCTCTTCCTGTAGCAAAATACTCTAGGGTCGAGCGCTTGAGGCGCATGCGACAAGCGAAGTCTCAACTCTCGCGAGCTTTCGTCTCCTGGAAGCTCTGGAGGACGTTCCACGCAAACGGCACCGCGATGTGTGGGGACTGCGTGGAGAAGGAATATCCCAACCGGGTGAGCTAGTGGGCGTCGAGAACGCATAACCAGCCCTTGAGGCTCTTACCCCCTGCCGGCCTTCCCGCGCAGGGGCGGACGCGCGGCCACAATGGCCGCTTCGGTGACCCGGTAGCTGTACTTAGGCGTTGGTCACCAGGGGCGGCCTGGGGCGCCCTGCTCCACGCCCTGGCGGCTGACATTGGCTGTCACTCCCGTTCTTGAGCTCCCGGGGACAGCAGAGGGACGCTCACCATCACTCCCACCCCGCAGGTTCGCTGTCAGTCTCACCCTCTAGCTCGAGTTGATGAAGCTAACTTTTCTTACGGATTCTAGCCCTGGAAGGGTCTGCTGAGGTCACCCGTGCTAACTTTTATGCAGAAAGGAGAAATCAACTTACTCAAGTTCACATTTGAAATAGTATGAGAGCCAAGACTAGAGTTCAGATTTCCTGACTGTTAACTTTCTTTTAAATTTGTTCTCAGGACCAGAAGGTTTCTAGGCTTAGCTTTTCAAAAATCATTAATAAAAGGGATACTTAACATTCGTATGTGTATAACTAGATTATTTAACTCACAACACGGCTTACTTGATGCCTAGCAACGTGCCCGTTTGAGGGAGTATGTCATTACCAGAAATGAATAGGACTGGCCATTAATGCTATTTAACTTTAGAGGAAGAGAAGAATGAGAGGGAATATTCACTTCCTGAAAAGGTGCACTCCCGTTGGAACTTGAAGGATAGTTACCATTAGGGTAGAAAGGAAGCACATGTAGCTGGAGGCTGGGAGAAAATAACAAGGATTCTTGCATTGGTGGGGAGGTAGAAAATCTCTATAGTCACTTTTTCCCCCTAATATTTTATGAGTAATATGTAGTCTTTTGAGAAGATTATATTACATGTATCATCGTATGTTGCAATTATTCTGGAGAAAAATGGTTTAGCATTAGAAAATAAAGTTAAAGATATGCACACTGAAGTGACCTAGGAAACTCATTCTGGAAAAATGCACGTGCCTGTTCCTGGAGATTTCTATTAGAATGTTCATAAACTACTCAAGAAGTGGAGGCTGAAGAGCGGTCAGTTCAGCCAGTACAGGCAACGTTAGGGGGCTCCTATGTCAAAACAAAATACAAGCAAAAAGGGCTGGGGGTGTATCGGAAGGCCCTGGAAAAAAGAATGTGCCTAAGGATTGTTGGTAGTGGTACTCTGGAATAGTAGCTGTCATGTATTCAGCAGTGAAAGTATATGAGCGTTGTGGTTCTTAACCAGTAGTGATTTTGCCTTCCAGAATTTGGCAATTTCTGGAGACTTTTTTTTTTTAATAGCGCATATGCCTTGATGGAGTCATTTTTGATTGTCACAATGGGAGGACTACTCCTGACATCTAATGGGTAGAAACCAGAGATGCTGCATACACTAGGCAACCACCACAACAAAAAATTGTGTCCCACTGTCAATAGTGCTGAAGTTGTGGAACTCGGAATTAGAACAGTGAAGATAAACCAGAATTATATGCAACAACCTGAATTAAGTCTTAAAAATACCATGTTGATAAAAGAACACAGAGTGTAATTTATAAAGAGGCAAATGAAAATATATTAACAATTCCTGAGTAGTGAAACTAGAGAGGAAAGCAAACAGTTGCTATAAAATCAAGATATTGATTATACTGAAGGGCTAGCTTATGATCAGGAATGGTCACATGAGCAAAAAAGAATGGTCATGTGAGGTGAAGGCTTCTGGAATGCAGGCAATGTTCCATTTTTTTAACTTGGCTGGTAGTTCAGATGGTCAGTTTATAACTACTTATTATGTTATGCACTTATTTTTCATATTTTTTTGTATTATGTTTGATTTTATACATTTTTAGTTTAGAGATTTTTGTGAATCTAATAATGAAAATTGCACATTATAGACCATGAGGGAAAAGTTCTTAGTGGAGGATATTAAAGAAACTGGGTAGATTTTTTTTTTTTTTCTTCCAGTACTGGGGTTTGAACTCAGGGCCTCACACTTGCTAGGCAGGCACTCTATCACTTGAGTCATGCTCCCAGCTCTACGTTGAATTCTTAACTAGGAACCAGTTGAAAGATACAAAAGTCATATTGAGAAGTTTAGATTTTACATTTTATAGGCTATGGGCAGCCATCAAAATAATTTTGAATAGGGAAATGATTCTGAAACTTACTGTTAGGTAAATGAATCTTAGCTGTATGTTGGGATGAATAGGATAGGGCAGGAGGGAGTGTGAAAGGAGAGGCCCACAGAGCAAGGCAACAGTGTAGGTGTGAAATAATGAAGGCCTAGTTTCATAGAAAGAATAAATAGAACTTAACCATTTTAATGTAGGAGAGAGAAAAAAGCAAGAGGTGTAGGTGATCTCAGGGTTATCAGTCTAGACAACTGGGAAGCTGGAAATATCATTGCAGAAATTGGAGGTGTAAATGGTCAAATTGTTCTCATCATGCTTCATTTGAGGTTGAGAATAACATCTGAGGAATCAAGTGACAATAAAATATTGCTCTTTGGGTATGCAATTCAGATAGATCAGTAAGCTGGGTAAAGTTATCAAAATTGAAAAGAGGGGCTGGGGCATGACTTAAGTGATAGAGCAGCTGCTACCAAGCATGAGCCTTGAGTTCAACCCCCAGTACTGGCCCCCCCACCAAAAAAAATTGAAAGAATTTGTTCTTCGAGGAAAAGAATGTAGAAAACCAAAGACTGAGCTTCAAAGAATAAATTAACTGGCCAGCCTGAACTATATAATGAGACCCTGGCCTAAGACCCGCCCCAAATAAATTAACTAGGAAATGAAAATTTAAAAGAAGAGTAAAGGATTGAGGTGATTGGAAAAGTGAAGGAAGCACCTTTCTGAAACATTTTTTCCTGTACTTTTGTCCTGTTCTGAAATAATTACAGAGCTGTCATGAGGAAGAATTAAATTTTTCTTTGGAATTTCAGAAGGCAGATTTAGAAACAGTGGGTAGATGTTACAAGGCTGTAGTCTTGGAATCAAATAAGGAATTTTCTAACATATTCAGAAAGGGGATGGGTATCTCATAGAGGAACTGATCTCTCTTCCTGTTGTTCAGTAGAGACTTACTGGTTGGAATCTCATGATTAATTCCTAATTCCTAGTTAACTCTGAGAGTCTTTGAAATCATGACATTTTTAAGAGTAGTAAAAGTAGAAGCCACTTTGCTCAAGCTTAATTAAGGATGGGGTAATAAAATGGTGGCAACATGTATGGTCCACTAATTTTTAAAAAATGGCAGAGAAAATAGCTTGTTGGGAAGCTCTAAGTGCACAATAAGTATTAATATTTATTTGTCTTTGGTTACTTAAAGTTATCTGGAGTTTTGTGGTAAGATGTTTTCCATACAATAGAAATACACAGTACTGAATTCTATGGCTCTGGCCTGCTTGCTTGCAATATTTCACTAAAAACTTTAACTCAAGAATGAATCTACTTGGAAATGAACTATACTAATTTTCTGAATCCAGGTTGTGTGTTTTTATTTTTTTTAACTCAAACTTCTAACAAAATTTTTTTTTTCTTTTGAGAAAGCTCTTAGCAAACCACTTGAAATGAGAACTATATTGCATTTTCTAAAATAACTCAACAGGCCAAAATTAGAATAAAATGTTTTTTAAATTAACCTGAAATGAAACTTGTGTTTCACATATTTCACTTTAGCTTTAAACTTTGTAGTAATGCAACAGTAATACAAAAATGAATCATTGATTTAGATTAATCAGAAGGAAAATCAGTGCGAATTGATGTTTAAGTTAAAAATTACGTTTTGTATACCTCATTTAAATCGAAGCTACCAAACTCCATGTACTCAAATTGATTTTTTTAGATAGAATTAAACCAAGTTTAACTAAATGCTGAGTTGGGTATATAATTACTAAAACAATTGTATGTGGGTAGGTGTTTTAAAAAGATATTCTGAATTTTAAAATTTACATTTGTAAGTGCCTATATTAAAAAAGAACAATTTGGAATCAACAGGCCAACCTTCTACTTAAGACAATAAAAAAACAGGAGCAAACTAAACCTAAAGCAAGTAGAAGGAAGGAAATAAAAATTTGAGTAGAAATTAATGGAATAGAGAATAGAAAAGCAATAGAGAAAACCCACAAAACCAAAGCAGAGCTGGGGATTGAAACCAGGGGCTTGCTTGTATATACTAGGCTAGGGCTCTTTCACTGAATTGTATCCTTAGCCCTCTATTTTTAATCTTAAACATTCCCTGACAAAACATATATGTTAACTTACATATACATTTTGTTTATATCTACATTAACTTGTATCAGCTAAAATAATTCTTTTCCAAAAAATTATGTTCCAATCCTTGTCAAAATAATTGCATATTTCTCATTTATAAGATTTTTTTTATCTATTACCATACTAATTATCATCTGTACTGTCATACAGTTGTCATAGTTTCTAGCCATTTTTATTGCACTCTTGTATACCTTTACAAATTTTCAACAGGATTTATCTGAATCACATTTTCTAAGGGTACTTAAATTGTCAGCCTTTTTCCCTTTTTCCTGAAACACTTATGGTATACTATTATTGTGGAATTGATTTGGATTACATTCTTATTTTCCTCTTATTTGGGAGCCTCAAAAGCTTCCCTGAATAGTGTGTGCTTTAGTTTACTTTCCAAAATTTGTGTGCCAGTAGTACAACAAAAGACCTAAAAAAAGCTACAGCTAACTAATGAAGGGTTATCCTCATTGCTTTCAAATTACTGGGACTCTTACTGGAAAGTTTCATCAGTTTCTTAGAGTTCTGCCTGCTTACAAGGTCAGGTTTCAGAGATTAGGCCACATGGTGTGAGGCAGCTAGCTGTGTTTAGGGGTATAGTCCAGTTCAGAGTTCTATTTATTTAAATTGGTATTTAGATCTTTTTTCGTTTAAGATTGTTTGTATTCCTTAATTTCTTAGAGTCTTTGGCATCTCAATTGAAAATCCAGCAATCTTTTTGTAAAAGTTTGTAAAGTGATCCTACCATTTTTATGAAAATGAAAATAGCTAGCTTGTAGTATATAAACTATCTGACTTAAAGACTTACTGTGATCAAGAGAATGGGATATTAGTGCAAAGACAGATATATAAATCAGTGGTCATTTGATTTTTCTAAAAAGGTATTAGTATAACTCAATGGGAAAAGAATAGACTTTGAACAAATGTTGCTAGAACAACTGAATACGGAACTTTGATCTTACCTCATACCAAAGTATTTCAAACAGATTCTGATCATAACCTAAATCTGAAAGTATAATCTATAAACTTAAAACTATAAAACTTCTAAAAGAAAACAGAAGAAAATCTTTGTAACCTTGGGGTAAGCAAAAATATCTTAGGAGACAAGCACAAATCATAGCCAAAACAACAACAAAAAAAGACAAATTGGACTTCATAAAATTCACCACTGCTCTTCAAAGAACACTTTTTTAAAAAAGGAAACTAATGACAAGGAAAAATTATTGAAATGTATTTGGTAAAGGGCTTATATCCAATATAAAAGAACTCTTTTTTTTTTTCTTTTTTGGGGGAGTAGTCAGTACTAGGGTTTGAACTCAGGGCTTTGCACATGTAAATGCTCTACCTACCACTTGAGCCCTTTTTGCTCTGGTTATTTTTGAGGTAAGGTCTCACTTTATGCCTGGGTGGGCCTGGATTGCTGTCCTCCTAGTTATGCTTTCTGCAGTAACTTGGATGACATGTGTACACCATTGTGCCCAGCTATTGGTTGAGACAAGGTCTCATGAACTTTTTTTGTTGGTTTTTTGAACCATGATCCTCCTGATCTCTGCCTCCTGAGTAGCTAGAACTCTTATAACTCACTGTAAGAAAATAACCAAAGCTGGGCGCCGGTGGCTCACGTCTGTAATTCTAGCTACTCAGGAGGCAGAGATGAAGTGGATCTCTTGATCTGGTAAACAGTTCACGAGACCCTGTCTCGAAAAACCCTTCACAAAATTAGGGCTGGTGAAGTGGCTCAAGGTGAAGGCCCTGAGTTCAAGCCCCAGTATTGCAAAAAAAAAAGAAAGAAAGAAAAGAAAAGAACCTAACTTTAAAAAAAAAATTGGCAAGAGACTTGAATAGACCCTTCATAAAAAAAAAAAAAAAAGACATGAATAGGCACCAGGAAAAGATGCTCAGTATCATTAGTCATTAAGGAAGTGTAAAACTACAATGAAATTACTACTATACAGCATTAGAATGGCTAAAGTAAAAAGTGTGTACAATACTTAGGGTCAGAGAAGATGTCGAGCAACTGGAACACTTACATTATTGACAAGAATGGAAAATGGAAAAAAACATTTAGCAGTTTCTTACAAAGTCCAACTTTTTTTTTTACCATATGACTCAGCAATTCCATTTCTAGATATTTAGCCAATAGGAAGGAAGACATATTCCACATAAAACTTGTACATGGCTCTCATAACTGCTTTTTTCATACTAGTCCCAAACTAGGAACAACCCAAATATCCAACAACTTAATCCTTAAAATACAACACTGCTTGTCAATAAAAAGCAATGTATACAGCTACATAGATGATTAATTTAAATGTTATGTTGAGCAAAAGAAGCCAGATACAAAAAGAATATACTGATTGTGCTTATATAAAAGTTCTGGAACATGCAAGACTGTAGAAAGAGACTTAGATCATTGGGTACCTGATATGGGTTGGAAGTTGGAGATAGTCTGCAAAGCATGAAGAAGCTTGCCAGAAAGATAAAAGTCATAGGATAGTGGCTACATGGGTATATATAAATATATTTGTTAGAAGTCATTTGGGCTGGAGGTGTGGCTCGAGTAGTAGAGCACCTGCCTAGGAAGCACAAAGCTCTCAGTTCAAACCCCAACACTGCCAAAAAACAAAACAAAATGCACCTGTGCTCTTACAGTATGTAAGTTATATTGTCTATAAATCATACCTCAGAGAAGTTTATAAAAAAAAAAAACTAAAGCAAGTCACTTCTTAATAGCTGGAAGCTTATACATTAATTTGAAGGCTTTTTCTCTTTAGTAGTCTAGTCCATGTGTCTTTGACTTAATATCTCCAAACTATATAGTAATATCTTGATTTCTCTCCACCAGAGTTAATTTCTTCCTTAATACATAGAACTAAGAAGCCTCTCAGAAGGAAGAGATTAATTGTAGTGCTGGGAATTTAGGAAGACTTCATTGTGGTATTTAGGGTAGGTCTTAATTTCTCTAATATTTCCTAAGCTCCTTGAAGGCAAGAAACACATTGGCTCAACATTTGAATCCTCCGTGGTCTTTGCACACTATCAGATACATAGACGCACTGGAGAAATGTTGATTTGAATGCTTTTTTACTCATATTAACTATTTTAAAATACTCTAGAGTTGTTCAGAAACAGGGTTAGACTAGATTATTTGTAAAATGACTTAATTCTTCACAATTAGTAAGCTTTTAGCAAGACTTTCCTTAATCCAGGAATATGTTTAGTTCCTTAGTGATGAAGAAACATACCCCACCCCTTATTTTTTGGCAATACTGGGGTTTGAACTCAGCGAGTGCCTACACTTGCTGGACAGGCATTCTACCACTTGAGTCACACTCCAGCCCTGCAAAACAATTTTAGTTGAAAAAAATAATTTTTTTTGGCAGGCCTGAGCTTGCTCAGGAGGTACTCTACTGCTTGAGCCACACCTGCAGCCCTGTCTTGAGTGATGTGTCAGTCTGATGAATTGCAGAACTTGACCTTCCCTGTCTGAATCATACATATCCATAAGGACTGATGTCTATGCATCAGAATACTTTTGTTTGTCTGTGGTATTATAGGCTTGAGAAAAACCTATTTCAACAGTCATCTTTAGCAGTGACTCAATGTTTCCATTTTAATTCTAGGCTTATGATATACCTCATTTAATTTTGTTGGCTATTAACTTTTTCTAATTTTTCTTTGTCATGTTTTACATTATTAAGACTCCTTTATTGTTTTTAAATATCTATTTGTACTTTCTCTCTTTTAAATACAGTTGCAATCCTTAGAGATTTATAGACCTAACAGTGTGCTTTAATTTTATTTATCATAAATAAAATTTCTTTAGGAAAGTGGTAATTTCAGAAATTACCTGGTATAGCCTTCAGGCAAGTAAATTCTGGCCATATTTTTCCTTTAAGAAATTTTAAATCTATTAAGCACTTTTACCAAAGGTTTAAAAATTTAAGAAAGTTAAATTCTTTTTTCTAATATTTTAGGGTAACACCTGTCTGGAGAATGGATCTTTCTTACTGAACTTTACAGGCTGTGCAGTGTGCAATAAGAGGGATTTTATGCTAATCACAAACAAATCCTTGAAAGAGGAAGATGGAGAAGAAATAGTTACCTATGATCGTAAGTAGACTTTTTTTTTTAAAAAAATGCAAGTCTGATTAAGAGACTAAGTAAGTAAAAAGTATTTAGAAGGTGTCTGGCATACAGTAAGCCCTCAATAAATCATAGTTGTTATTATTACATTGTTTTTACTAGATCTTTTTGTTACCACTAAGTGTATTTAGTTATTTTGGGGTGAAGACTGGGGTTTGAACTCTGGGCCTCACGCTTGCTGGGCAGGTGCTTTTACCACTTGAGCCACTCCACGAGTCTTAAATTTACTTTAAAGGGCTGGGGCTGTAGCTCAAGTGGTAGAGTGCTTGCCTAGCATACATGAGGCTGTGCATCTGTTTGTTCTCTAGCACTTAAAAAAAAACTTATGTCCATTGGTTTTTATTTATGATTAGTTATAGTAGCACATTTACTTTCATTGCCGAGAATAAAAGCTTTTTTGGGGGTGTGGGGTAAGTAACTGGGTTTGAACTCAGGTTCCTGTGCTTCCTAGGCAAGTGCTCTACCCACTTGAGCCATACTGCCAGCCTGAAAATCTTTTACATAGTTAGATCCAGCTAGTTTAAAAAACACACTTAAGTATCTGTTAATTGGTTACCTTAGAGAGCTTTCACTGGGAATTAATATATGCACATTAAACCTCTTAGTTCATACCCTAATTATGTACTGTTGCTTTGTGACAGATTGTGGATTTCCCGTTAAGGTGGCTATTATAATGGGTTTCCTGCTATGTTAATATGAAAGAGTTAAGATTCTTCTTAAGCATTATTATTCCGGTAATAGAACTTTTACTGTTTTAAGAAACTTTTCAAGACTTAATTACATAAGTTTCTTTTTGTTGTGGCAGATCTGTGTAAGAATTGTCATCACGTAATAGCCAGGCATGAGTATACATTCAGTATCATGGATGAATTTCAGGTAAATGTATAAATATGGATATGTTATGGGGGAAGATAACAAAAGTACCCTGAGAAATCTACATATAGTTTTTACAAATGAAATACTAGCATCTATTAGTAAAGGAGACTATTTTTGTCTTCTACCTATACAAGTTGAAAGAGAAACTTTAAATATGGGTGGATCTGTGCAAACTTGTTTTTACAAGAGTCACACATCAAAATGTGGGTCTTAAAAATGATCTCTCAGTCCTTTAAATAAAAATGACATTTTTATTTATAAAGAATTGTCCATAGATGGTCACAGAGGGACACATCAGTAATCCAGCTACTTGGGAGGCTGAGATTGGCAGTGTTGCAGTTTGAGGCCCAGTCTGGGCAAAAAATAGCAAGACTCCCTCCTGCCCCCACCATCTCAGCTACCAAGCCTGTGGAGTGGTGTATAACTGTAATTACTGTATAACTGTAATCCCAGCTAGATTACAGTTATAGAGGATAGAGGTCCAAGGCCAGCCACAGGCAAAAAACAAGACCCTATCTGAAAAATAACAAGCGTAAAAGAGCTCAGTATGTGGCTTAAGTGGTAGACCACCTGCTTAGCAAGCATGAGGCCCTGAGTTCAAACCCCAGTATCACCAAAAAGAAAAAGAAAAGAGAAAGAAAGAAAAAAGAACAGTCCATGATGGCTTCTTGTGAGATTATTATTGTGCTTCCTTCTTCTCTGCTCACATTTGCTGGCTTTAAGTTTTGGCCTATTTATTCACTGTCACCTTATTTGATGGGCATGGAAGTCTTGATAAGGAGGTTACCTTTGTTTTTCCTAGTTATCTTGAAGAGTTGAACAATTCTACAGTTTCAAGCATTTAAGAAATTTTATATTTGTCAAGTAAAATTACAGGATGAATATACCAAGGTTGAAGGAGAAAAACAGAGCCACTAGAGAAGAAGAGATTTGTTTTAAGAATTAGTTTTCATGAGTTGTGAACATGTGAAGAATTCTATGAATTTCTATGGCCTAATGTAGGCCTGAAGCTCTGATAGACAGGAAAAAAAGCTAGACAGTCAGTGAGAGAGAGCCCAGGTCAAACCCTTGGCTGGTCCTTACTGCCTCTGTTTTTAAACCTTCAGATTGAGTTACTGATTTTGTGTGACCTATGTGTTTATCCAAAGGATACAAATACAAGATTAGAACTTTCCACAGTCAAGGGAATTTTTTTTTTTCTCTTTTGAGACAGGGTTTTGCTATGTAGTCTAGGCTGGCCTCAAACTCATAATCCTTGTGCATCAGCCTCCTGAATGCTGGGATTACAGGTATGGGCCACTATGCTTGGCTAAGAGAATTTTTTATGTACCTCAAATTTGGGTAGTACTTTAAATAGGAAATAAAAAAGGATAATCTTTCCTAACTGAATCATAAAATAGTATAACACTTTTTACTCATTCTTGTGTTAACGTGAAAGAAAGACTTTAGCCACCTGGTCTGATTTTTGAACATCTTTTTTTTTTTTTATTTTATTTATATGTGCATACAATGTTTGGGTTATTTCTCCTCCCTTTCCCTCTCCTCCCCCCACCTTTCCCCCCTTACCCCCTCGCCCTTATCTCTAATTTTGCTGAAGAGAGAGTATAAGCAATAATAGGAAAGACCAAGGGGTTTTGCTAGTTGAGATAAGGATAGCTATACAGGGAGTTGACTTGCATTGCTTTCCTGTGAATGTGTGTTACCTTCTAAATTAATTCTTCTCAAACTAACCTTTTCTCTAGTTCCTGGTCCCCTTCTCCTATTGGCCTCTGAGATTGAGATTTTAGATATTAAGGGACCCTTGCTTTTTTTTCCCCTTTGACACCTTCTACTGTGTTGAACAACATCTTGACTATAACTCTTTGACATCCAAAACTTCCATGTGACTTAGAGTAAAATCAAGATCTCGATGAATGAGTAATAGGTAAATGGAGGAATGAGCATCTCATGGACATAAAGAAACAGCTCTGTCCTTTTACAGGAGGTAACTGTTTTCCATACCACATGTGAGCTCTTTAGAGTTCTTAAATGAATATTGAGATTGCCATTTATATCCTGATGATGCCATTTTAAATCACTCCCATGAGACCAAAGTCTGGCTGGTTTTCTTTTATGACTAAATGCATTTCTGTTGCAGAAATTACTCTGGGGTAAGAAGAAAATAGGAAGATGGCTTATAGTCACAACACTTGCTGTGAACTCCTCTTGAAAAAAGTCTTAAAGTGGGCTCTCTGTCTACATTCCAGCATCTCTCCCCCAGGCCATATTCTGTACTCTATGACATCAGATGATTTTTCTTACTTTGTTTTGTTTTTTGGTGGGACTGGGGTTTGAATTCAGGGCGTCACGCTTGCAAAGTAGGCGCTTTTCTACTTGAGCCATACCATCAGTCCATTTTGCTCTGGTTATTTTGGAGATGAGGTCTTAAGAACTGTTTGCCCATGCTGGTCTTGAATCTTGATCTTCCTGATCTTAGCCTCCCAAGTAGCTGGATTACAGGTATGAGCCACCAGAGCTCGGCTCATGATTTTTTTTTAAATGAGACTTTTAGACCACTCCATTGGCCTTTCCATAGCTCACCTTTAGCTACAGTGTAATATCCAAACTCCTCATTCCAAAGTTCTCACTGGGCTAATCCAGCTTCCCTTTCCTCATTTCTTATGACTCTTCCTTATGTACACTATATATAGACAGAATCATCTCAATTTTAGACTTTCTTTTTATTTCGTTTTCTGTATGTACCCTGACTCACTTCCTTAGGAGCCACATGTTATCTTCTCTCTTTCTAGCATACTCTTTCTTCATAGGATTTAATTTTTTTTTACATTAAACATATTTCCTTTATTTTTTAAAAATAAATGTACACTCTTTCATTTCATCAGGCTACCTCTGTGATCCATTCTGTAATCATTTTCCTCTTTTTGCCGTTGTTTTCTTTAGGTAGAGTTTTACTATGTAGGCCAGGTTGACCTCCTACCTCAACCTCTGCAGTGTTGGCATTATAGACATGTGCCACCACACCCAGTTTTGCATAGGTCTTTTATTTATTTTCTTAATTTCCCTATGTTCCTCTTAACTACCTGCAAACTGGTTTTCATTTTCATTTGGCTAAAACTACTCTCCAGTAAGTTTCCTGTAATCTAACCAAATCCTGTGGTCTTTGCCTTTGTTCTTAACTCTTTTAACATCTCTTCTGGATCTGGTTTTGTTAACCATTGTCTTTTTGAAACATTTCTTCCCTTAGGGTCCATATTGTTTGACTTTATTTTCTTTCTTTTTAAATCATTTTAACTGCTTCTTTGCCTTTTCTCTCATTTCCTTATTTTACTTTGATTCCCCTGAGCTGGTTCTGGTCTGATCTAGGACCTTCTCTATACTCCGTCGTGTAGTGGGCACATAAACTGAATCTGTTTAAGATATCTTCTAGATCTCCTTCTCTAATGCTAGCCTCACCTGCCCTCCTTTCATCCTTTGTTTCTCTTGCTTTTTTTCTCGCTCCAGCTAACACACACTTCACCATGTCAAGGACCATACCCAGTCAAACCTAAATTACTGCAGCAGCCCCAAATGTAATCCTATATACTACCAGGGGGTTAGTCTTCCTTAAACATGCCATCTTGCACTCTCCTGCTGACCAGCTTCCAGGAACACCTTCTTTTCCTCCTACTTCATGTGTGATCTGCTTGCTTTTTCCAGATCACTGTCATTCTTGCTTTCCCCGTCTTCAAACCTATCAAATCTTACCTCTTTCTATATATTTTTTTCAGTACTGGGATTTGAACTCAAAGCCTCACATTTGCTAGACAGGCTCTCTACCACTTGAACCATTCCACCACCCCAAAATCTTACCTAGAATTTAAGATAGAACTTAAATTCTATCTTCTTACCTTTGATGGTATGGGTTGTACTGTTTTCTCCTTTTTCTGAACTTTTCTTATACCTACATCTGGCCTGAAATCAAGTGAGTCACCCCTTGAGATCTTCCACCTCAGCATAATGGCTTTCATTCTCAGCTGCTATGCCTTATTGTCCTCATCCCCACCCTTCTCCAACCCCCATCCCACAGAATTATTTTGCAGTAAATCTCAAACATAGCACTACCACTGTAATTATTTCATCTTTAAAAGATATAAAACGGCCATAATAAACTTTATTGAAAAAGATAAAATTTTCTAACAGCAAGTCTAGGGGGGAAAGGTAGAGACAGAAGTATATTAATTGAAAAATATATTAGAAATGGTTACAGATATCCTTTGTTTTTCAAAATCCCCTGGCAAAAAAAAAAAAAAAAAAGCCTTTACATAGACTATGGGTTTTTACCTCAGGAAACAAGAGGGGAACTGTAAGACTGTTTTCTGCTCCTCAGTGGGACAGGGGAGAGTATGTGGAGTTAGAATTAATAGGGAGTAGTGGGGAAAGGACTAAGGGACCCTTCAAATAAACCAAAGATCTATTCTTACCCCAAGGTGATTCTACCCATTCCACCCTTCCTCCAAATCTCTACCCCTCAACCTTGCCCAGAGACAGTCTTAATATGAATGGCTGTGAAGAATTATTCTCCCTACTTGGCCAGTTTTGGTGAAAGTGTCCTAATACCACCTCACTTCTTACAGCCCAGGGAGCTGTGTTCCAGGCATTCCAAGTTAGAATTCTAGACATACTTTCACACAGAAATACTGCTGTGTGTGGGTAGATTATATAGCGCTTGTGCAGTATAAATTTAAAAGACTTATAGATTTTCTCAGGAACCCAGTCACTATGTATATGACATTGCTTCTGTGGGAAACTGCTTTTGAATTCCAAACAATTGATTTACAATGAAATTTAGATTCCAGACCACCTATAAATTAAAGATTACAATTATAATCAGGCTCACTGATGTAATGATTTTGCCACATTATGTCATGTGTTTTTTCTTCCAGGTTAGATAGATTTTATAAGGTCACACTTTATCCTTGCTTTCTTTGATGCCTGCCAGTTCATTTAGTACAAAGGATAGATTGGTTGGAAAAATTCAGCTATTCTAGTTTCACACATACTCCCTCTTTTTTTTTGTCTTAAAAAAAAAAATAGGTTGTTTTCCTGCTAGTAATGTCTGATGGGTTAAAGCAGTAGAAGTATTTGAGAGCAATAAAACATTTTGGAGAGGGTAAATATTTCTTTCCTTTTAATTCATGAGACTTGTATTTGTTCTATAAGTTCTAGCCTCCATGTATTTCTACTGTGTTTGTAGAGTAGAGTAGACTTTAAAATTAAGTGGAGGCTAGATGTGAAGCTCAGTGGTAGAGTGCCTACATAGCATGTAAAGGCCCTGGGTTTGATTCCCCAGCACTATAAATAAATTTTTAAAAATAAATAAATAAATAAAATTAAGCTATGTGTAGTCTTTAAGAAATAATCTTTTTTACTTTTACAAGTTTACTCCCCTCCTTTAACTCATCAGTAGGAAATGAGAAAGCAATCCCCTGCTTCTGCATCTTTGTACCATTGCCTTTGTTTACCTGTGTGGCCTCTCTAGTGACTGTCCAGATCCAAGAAACACTAAGTATCTTGACTAATTAGTCTCTAGACAGCTAGCATCTCAACATCAGGTGAAGAAATACTAATAGATTTGACACAGATGTTTGTTTTCCTAAGAAATATTGAAAGGTTTTTAAATGAAAAGTTTAAAGGAAATATGTCTGTACCTTCCATTTATGACTTTATTAAATGTTCTACAGAGTGACAACTGTAAGAGCAGGATATTGCCCTATAAATTTTTACCCAAAAAAACTCCTCTGTCCTCAGACTGGACATTTTAAAGCCCAAGACATATAAAATCCTTAAATAGATGAAATTCCAGGCAACTAGTTATTTAAGTATGAGGCATGAGATATAGTGAATTTGACATAATCATTTGTTTTCCTACAGTAGATTTAAAATAGCTTTTTCAGTTTGGGAATTTTCTCCTTTTTCCCCCTTCCTGTTATTTATAGTGTTAAATATCTTAGAAAGGAACAGCTCTAAGAACAGAAATTTAACCTTAGGGACCCACACTCAGATTGCTTCATTACTTTTTTATTTTATTTTATTGGTTGTACTGGGGTTGAACTCAGGGCCTTGTGCTTTCTGGACAGGTGCTCTACCACTTGAGCCATGCTGCTAGCCCACTTCTTTACTTTAAGTACAAGCACTAAGCTAAATATGTATGCTTTCTAAGTCAAGAAATAGCTATGTATTTCCAAAATTCTTATATTCTTATATTCATAGTAAATAAAAGTACCAGTGTGTATTTAGTTTATCTAAACAGAAGGCTCTGGAGATAGGCAGGATAAACCTAAACATTGCTAATAGATGTTGAAGAAAGTGATCTAATGTACAGAAAGAATATCCATGACAGTTTGTAGAGAAGCGCTTTATTGAACAAAGTCAGTTATAAAGCATCTTTCTCTCTGTCCCTTGAGGTAATTATGTACTTTGTCTTGTTCTAGGAGTATACCATGCTGTGTCTGTTATGTGGGAAAGCTGAAGATACTATCAGTATTCTCCCTGATGACCCTCGACAAATGACTCTGTTATTCTAAGACTACTTCTGCAGTTCTATTGTAACAATGTTGGGTTGAGCAAACCTGATGTTTTTTCTAATAATGAAAGTTCTTTGTATATTTTCTTTGCTGCGTAGACTTATCTGTTCTTTGAAAGAAAAGTAATTTGGGGGATTTGTGTTCCCTAGAGCAGAATTCTTCTGCTGAAGTTTTAGTTAGCAGTTATTTATCCAAAAAATAACCATAGTGGGTGCACACCTAGGGTTCAGATCTTGGTTTCCCATAAAAGGAGCCAGAATTCCTTGGGGAAAAAAATGACTGGTGGAGTAGGGCAGTAAATAGGCAAGATGAGCCTGGAGCATCTTGTACTACAAAAAAAAAAACCACAGTGATTTGGGTATGTCAGAGAGACAGAGAAGTCAGAGAAGTAAGTCACTGGAAGGAGCCACAACTGGAACAATGTGAGTAAGAAAATAAGCGAATTGGTATTGAGTTATAACCCAAACTAATAAATATTCATAAGTGCATACTGATATAAATAAATGACTGACTGAATGAATGAATAAATAATTAAGAATAGACAAATCTCCCATGAAGAATTCCAAATAATAGATACTCACTCCTTAAGTATAAGCTGTGTACATAGTGACTTCCTTACAAAGGGTAGACTGTGGAAAGGAAGGAAAAGAGTAATTTTATAGTAGGGCAATCTGACAAGCACTAGCTCAGCCAGGTGATCAGGTAACATCATCAATGATAAGTCATGCTGGTCAGAGGTACCCTTGATATGATGTGATGAGAGTGGTACTTTACCTCTGTGGTCTTCCTCCCAAAGAGTCATAATGCCAGTCTAATCATGAGACAGACATCGCACAGTTCCCAGTTGAGGGAACCTCTACAAAATCCCTGACCAGTACTCCTTGAAACTGCCCCAAGGTCATAAAGGACAGTCTGAGGAACTGTCCAGCTAAGAAGAGCCTAAAGTGACATGGTGACTACTGAGGTGTCCTAAGTGGGAATCCTATATTAGAGATAAAAAGGACATTTTTTAGAAACTAGAAAAAACTGAATAAAGAGTAAACTTCAGTTAATATAAGTGAATAATTTCATTTGCTCCAAAGTGATCTTAGAATATCTTATTTTGCATAGTTGAATGAACACCAGCTCTGGGATTATAAACCATGGCATTTAGCCTACTCTGCCATTTGGTAGCAGTGTAATCATTAAGCAGTGTATTACTCTGGACTTCATTGTCCCATTTCTATAAAATTGGGCTAATAAAATGTGTTATTATGCATTTCACAGTATTATTAGGAGATATAGATGAAATAATGAATACAAAATACTTGGGAAGGTATAGCAAGTACTAGATACAGTGAGGTGGCTTCAATTCTCATTCTAAATCCGAAAAGAGATTGACTATTAGAAACAAAATTGTTTCCTCCTAATAGCTAGGAGATATTAGAAAAGCTTATAAGAAAAAAAGTGACCAGTGTGTTCATTGTTGATACCAGAGAAAAGTGTTGTTGTGTAACGGCAATAGTAATAACAATAGGTGAGGTTTATTGAGTACTTATTTAATAGCTCCATGAAATAAGTACCATTTTTATTCCAGTTTTAGAGTCAGAAAAAACTAAGACACAAATAAGTAACTTGCTGAAGGTCACACAACTACTACAGTGTGTAAACATGAGGTATAAAAGTCTGGCAAGGTTAGGGAGAGGTTGAGAATATCAGTGACAGCACTCCCAGGAATCTCAGCGTGTCAAATAAAAAATTTGTTACTGAGAAAAGTTAAGTCAGCTGCTCCATAGGGATCAGTTGTTTCATTCCTGGAAAATATTTCTCATTTTGCTACAAATTTATATCTGACCTGCTGAGGAGATCATTTGATGAAATGAATCCAAAAAGCAGAGAAAATGTTTCATAACTTTAAATAGCAGCACTAAGCCCATGATAGCCTCTGCATTGTCCTTTCTTGGCCTTTGCTAATGCTTCCAAGTTAGTCATTTGAAGCTCAAGAGTATGATTTTACATGCTCCTGCTGATGTCCTCATCTGTTGCTGAATGTATAATTATCTGTTTGCTTTGGATATAGAGCGCAAAAATTTAAAACCTAACATCTTATTCATGTATTTCACTATTATTCAACCAGTGTTTTGTGATACTTTATCATCTAGAATTCTTCTTTGGGTCTAATAGAAGAAAGACCTCTTAAATCTAATTCCATTGAATCCGTATTTTTCTCCTCAAATAAATGGGAACAAGGCAAAAGTTTTTTTTTTTTTTTTCTTTCCTGGGATATAAGAGGAAAAGAAACCACCTGTGGTGTCACTGGAAATGTGGGCTGGTCCTGATACCTCACTCTTCCTCTACTTAATTTATAGATCTACAGATCTGGCATTTAGCTAGTTGGCTTCTTGAAATGAAAAGCTCAGCCTGTATTTGTTATTGTATTGTTTTAGCTAACTCTGTCTTTCTCAAATGGTTTTGGCATCTCCTAAAACTATTTAATTAACATATGACCTAGCTTGGGCACAACCAAATATTTTCTGTTTCTTGTAAATTACCACTAAAAATATATGTCCACTGTTCTTTATTTCAGTGTATCAGAAATCCTGCCAGTTTCATTCTTTCATTTTGTAGCAAGGCTAGTTACTTGACTGAATTTGAGGTGCTTGATACTAAAACGTATGTTTCTTGACTATAGTACAAGTCTGTATTTTGAGACACAACTTGTACCCAACTGGGTAAAAAAGTGCATGGTGTAGGATTAGCTTTGCTGCTGGTGGAACAGTGTGACAAGTCAGTTATCCTGTCTCTACCTCAGTTTCTTCAATTGGCCAATGGTAACAATTATGTCTCCTTCATAGACATTTTTGTTTTTGTTTTTGCTTTTTTTTTAATTATATAAAATAATTATGGGGGGGTGTGCCTTTTTGTTTTTGTTTTTTTGGCAGTAATTTGAGTTTGAACTCAAAGCTTCACACTTGCTAGACAGGCACTCTACCATTTGAACCACATGTCCAGCCCAGGTTGTACATTTTTAATGGGTTTCACTATGACATTTTCATACATGCATATAATGTACTTTGATCATATTCACCTTCTCTTTTTTCCCCTTCCCTGATCCCTTTCTATCCATATAGTCCCCCTTTTAAATCCATGTTTGTTTTTTTAATCTAGAGTCCACATTTGAGAGAAAACTTGATATTTGTTTTTCTAGTATGGCTTATTTTGCTTACTATCATGATCTCCAGTTCCATCCATTTTCCTGCAAATGATGCAAATTCATTCTTTCTTATGGCTAAAGAAAACTATTGTGTGTATATGCAGCATTTTCTTTATCCATCTATTAATGGGCTAATTCTATAATTTGGCTATTGTGAATAGTGCTGCAATAAGCACTCAGTTGTATAATTCTATAAAGTAAGTGAAAACATTTGGAAGGTGTGCAATACTCTCAGTGATTTATTTTTTCCTTTTGTTTGTTACTAATAGCTAGATGCTATTTTCCTAATGCCTGCCATTTAGAATCCTATACATCAAAAAGGAAGAAGAGAAAGTGGGCAGGAGTCACATCTTCACCCTGGGGTTCTCATTGTAAATCACTGAACATCCCCATTCCTTCCTTCCTACTTTTATGCTTCACTTCATCTATGACTCCCCTCTGCCCCTTATAAAGATAGTCCTGTCTTCTTTTCTTGGATCCAGGCCTCTATGATGATGAGCCCAAATTACATTTATATATACATATATACATAGAAGTGTATATTGTATATTAGGTATACTTGTTTTGTTTTTGTTTTTTTGGTGGAACTGTGGTTTGTACTCAGGGCTTTGTGCTTATAAACAGGTACTCTACCACCTGAGCCATGCCTTTAGTCTGTGTATCTATGTATACATTTGTGGATACACAAATGTATATATAAATTTCCATCTATACATAAGCACACCTATAAACTCTGTGTATTGGAGCTACTTAAAAATTTCTTGCTCTGTTAGCCTAATTCACTCAAATATCTTGTACCTAATCAGTGGTCTTCATGAAGGAAAACCTGAGCTAGAAAGCAACAGTGTGGTCTTATGATTAAGAGTAGATGCTTCGGTGTCAGAATAACCTGGCTTACTAGCCCTTTGTCCTTGGTAGATAGCTCACCCAACTATCTCTTTTTAAATTGAAATAAAAACTCTTTGAATATGAGGATTGAATAGTCTAATGTATTTAAATTACTTAGGTAGTTTGGATGATGGTTGTGATGGTATTGAGAAAATAATAGCTAACTGGGTACCAGTGGCTCATGCCTGTAATTCTAGCTACTTGGGAAGATGATCGAGGTTTGAGGCCAGCCCAAGCAAATAGTTCATGTGACCCCATCTCCAAAATAACCAGAGCAAAATGGACTAGAGGTGTGTCTTAAGTGTTAAGAGTACCTGCTAGGGTTCAAACCCTAGTCCCACCCCAAAAAAGAAAAGATATAACTATAGGAACATAGTCATAAAGATGACCAGTTTCACTCCATTTATCTTGGCCCCTTAAAATCACTTGTAAGGTGTATTTTTTGTAAGAGCTCACACACAAGTGATTCTGTCATTCCTCTAAATTAAGCAGCATTATCTCAGCACTTCTGGCAGAGCTTGTTAATGAGACTTCTTCCTACTTCTGAGTGCCCTTACGGAAATTTGATTAAAAGATTTTGTTTATCCATGGAAGTGTGTGATTACACTAAAGTTTTGTCTTGTCTGTTGATGAAAGGGGGGAAAATGAGATGAAGAATAAAGGAAAGAAACATTTTCTCTTCCTTTTAACAACACCACAACGAAAGATTTAGTACAGCTAAAGGTCCATGTAAAACAGATTCCTGCCCATCCTGCCTCACTTGTTTCCTTCTGAGGCAAACTGGTCAGGTCCTTTCTGAAGCTAACAGCATTTTCCCTGAGTCCTCTTTTTGCATTATAGCTCCTGAGGCCCTGCAAAATCACTTCTATTGAAATTACCTTTCCTTTGGAATCCCTAAATTATTCATTGAACTTGAGCCTTGTGGGAAAAACCCAACACACTGTACTGGCATACCAAGCCCTAAATTGCCAGTGGAATAATGCCAACATCCAGGATCACTGACTGTTACTGGATGTAGCAACAGGTTATCACATTATAAAGATGATTAACTGATCATAGTACCATCCAACGTGAATTCCCTCTTTCATTTCATCAGGGAAGCAATTTATCTCTGTAGTAACTGCTCTAAAATCAATGCATGGTCCTGCCTCAGAAGAAATTCATATGCCAGCTGTTGGCTTTAAGAAAAGGAATCTGAAAGAAAGCCTTGAATTTTCAAGAGTCAAGTTGAGGGCAGACTTTATTTAGCAGAAGGATGCTAGGGGATTCCCACTATAATGCTCAGGTTACCCTTTGAAATAAAGCACAATTCATGACAGAGCTTTAGTTTAAAGGTCAGATGGTGGGGATTATTAACCTCTATTCCACATTTGCTCTCATATGATGCAAGTGCTTGGAAGATGGTTATGAGGAGCAGATTAAAGGAATAACTGTCAGTCGGCATTAGAATTCTCAGCAGTAGATTTTTTTGGAGAACTGTCATTCAGGACTTGAATAAGAAGTAAAATATTCCATCTAGTGGTCAAAGGGAAAAGTGTAATGAGAATATTCCAGGATGAAGTTTGTGAGACAAAGTGACAGGGCAGTGGCTTCCCAGCAGGTGAAAAAACATAACAGAACCTTGTCTAGGTGGTATTGAACATCATCCTTATAAAGCCACTGAGCACAGCTGCTCTTAGCCCCAACCATGTTGGCAGGTTATAAACTCTGACTCTTTAAAGGGAGGCCCTCTCCCTTCCCCACCTTCATGGAGGTAGAAATGAACCCAGTCATTCATGCCTCTGTTTGTCTTGTGCCTTAATTTGTGACTCTGCAAGCTTGAGAAGAACAAGAATAGAATGTGAATTTTAAAAGGAGGGAGTCAGCCTAGCAAAAGATCAAAAACATGTTATTCAACAAAGTGATCAGGAAAAGAATGAAGTGTGCTTTGTGTTTCTAGTAGCTGTATTCTCTATGCCCTTGCTGTCAGTAAAAGTTGACCAAATTGAATTCCAGGAATTTCTCTAGGTACAGGCAATATCTAGTTGGCCTAGTATCCACAGTCATTTGGTATTTTCCTGCTTAATAATTGTCCAACAGGCTCCCACTATGCTCAGTGAAAGGGGCCACTGTCTTTTACTCCTCTTTATTATTTCCTCTTTTACCTAAGTTCTGGACAAGAGCCATAAAATAACAAAATTAACATTTTCCTCAACTCCAGCTGTTAAAGACCTTGAGCAGGGCCTGCTTTCCAGGCACTATTTAGAGGATCTCCTTGATTAAAGCCTCCCTCCGCCAAACCTTGGTGTGCTACCAGCTCCTCTGTCCCACTGCAGTGTGTACCACCCCTCTGCCTTTTGTTAAGGAAGAAGACACAAAGAGCCTGGCCATTTCCACACCTGCCCTTTATTGGATTTTTATCTAGCAGGCTGACTCCAGGACCTTCACACTTTTCAGACATCACCCATAAGGATTTAGGAGGATACCATCATTCTGTGAAGGCCCAGAGCCTACATGGGTCTTAGATCCCCAAGTTGAAACACCAAGAAGGTTGAGCGAGGAAAGAAACAGGCAGATGGGAAAGGCAGGCTCTTCAATGAAGGGAGTGACGTCGAGGGAAAGTTTAAGCTCAGTAGTGTCTCCTCAGGGCACCCTGAATCCTAAGGAAGAATACTTGGGAGCTGGAAGGAGTAGGAGATCCGTGTGCTGAGCAGCTCACATCTATATGGCAACTTTGAGGAGACGCTTGATGTCAGGCTCAATGTTGATGGTATGGAAGGTGCGGCTGTAGCGGCGGAAGGGCTCCCCCTCCGGCCCTATGAGGAACTTCTCAAAGTTCCAGGCCACATCTGAGCGGCGCACTGGACTCCACATGATGAGCTTGGGATCGGTCATGAGGGAAAATGGGTCATCATAAGGATAAGGGAGCTTGTCCTTCAGGTAGGCGAAGACAGGATGCTCGTTCTGCCCATTTACCTCACACTTTTGGATAAGAGTGAAGGTGGGTTCATATCCACCGCCAGGGCGGACATACTTGAGACTGTGCAGGATCTCCTCATTCTGACAGTTCTCCTGGAGGAGAAAAAGACAGCATGGAAAAGGGCAGGGGAAACCAAGGACTCACCTGTGAAAATATTTCCTCCTACAACACTCCTTTCTCAGAATCATTCTTTTCTCTGCATGTGCATGTGTGCATGCATTTCGTGTGTGTGTGTGTGTGTGTGTTCCTTCTCCCTTTATTTTCTTTGCCTACTCTTGACTTAGAGTTTTCCCTCTCCCACCTAGTGTTTGATGGTATGCTAGGCCGTTTCTGAAAGTTTTTTTGGGGGGTGTGGGGACAGTACTGGGGTTTGAACTCAGGGCTTCTTGCTTGCTAGGCGGGCACTCTACCAAACTGAAAATTCTTGTAGTTCCTAGCTTGGCTGCTCTTATGCTTAAAGACTTAGTACTTTTGAAAAAATTGACCCTGAGCAGTTCTTTCTCCTTTTTTTTTTAAATGTGAGCAGTTTTTACAGTATTTGTTTGAAGGTTCAGGGAATCTTGAGTTCAGGTCAGAAGAAGAAAAGGAAAGGAGGCTCAGATTATATATACAGCCTTAGAACCTGTTCTACACACACACACACACACACACACACACACACGCGCGCGCGCACGCAAACACACACACTCTCCCACTCCCTTCTACCATGTTACCTTCTGCTCCGGTTGTGCCTCTCTTGCTTCTAATTACATGTGTATTAAGTACAGCAGCCTTCACTTCTGTCTTACTCAGCTCCTTAAGTCAAGGGTGAAAATGAGACCTATGGGGAATGAGATTTACAGCTTCTGGCTTTGCCTTGTCCCAGAACTAAGATGCAAGTAGGAAGCTGCATAGATGAAGGAAGACCCCATCCAAGGAAGTCTAGTTTTCAAATGCCTTAAAGGCAAATCAAGTTAGTGACAACAGTGAATATACTCTAAATAGAACTATTTAGTGACAGGAATGAATCAAATATTAGAATAAAAACAAGGTTTCCTGTCTGGGGGGTGGGGGGAATGCTGAGAAAATAAGACCTTGAGGGCTAAGTGTTGTATGTAGGAATATGTAATTATTCCTTTCATTTATAAGCTGCTGTCCAAATCTGAATCTCATCTTTACTTACTGTACTCAGTTATGAATGCTTTAGCTCAGAACCTGTTACCTGTCTTTCCCTCCTCACTGCTGTCCCTGTCCTATCCCCACTCAGCATTCCCCACCCTGACAACCTCCAAATGCCTATGAGAAACTATTTTCCTCGCCTCCTCCCCAGGCTAAGAGTCAGCTCTCTCTCTTTCTCTCTCTCTCTCTCTGTCACACACATGCACATGCACACATACACACACGGAGTTCCTGCTTCTGACTTATTAGAAGAACCATGACAAACCACTATGACGCTCATGAGCTCCAGCTGATCTCTATTAGACTTCTTATCTCTTAATGCAAATAGCTGGCCAGTTCCTAGTAGGTTATGGACCCCCTCCAGCAACTAGCTAGTCCAAAGTGATGATGTAAGGCTGGAGGCATCCCTAGGGCTGGAGAGAAGCCTCTTAAGAGGTTTTACCCTTTCTGTCTCTGCCCTGACAAAGGTTGGATAGATAACTAAGAGAGAAGGAACAGTAAGCATAGTAATGGTTTTGGCTCCAGTTTGTCACAGCCAATTAACCTTCATCCTTCCTACTTACATCTAGGCTAATCCTTCCTTGCCTTCATGGCACTGTAAATTGGAGTGAGGGGATTATAATTAGAGGGTTCACTTGGGGACATCCTACCCACTTATACAATTCAAATCATAAGTATAAGTGGAGGATAACTAAAAGATAACTTGAGGTGTGCAAGCAATGCCCAGAAGCAGCACATACATATTGCAAACCTTTCCATTTTTCCCATACTCCCTTTCTACCTGGCTGATCTAAACAAACAAGTCTCCAATATAAATAATAAACTGCATTTATGTAGTATCTTAATGTTTTTCTAGTTATTTTTGTATCTTCATGAACCTCACAATAATCCTAAGAGCTAAGTGGCATTACCTACAATTGATAGATGAGGAAACTAAAACAGAAATATTAAGTGCCTCTTTCAGGGCCATAAAGCTACTACTGAACAGCAGAACCAGGTATAGCAGGAACAAAGGTCTCCTGAGTCAATCCAGTTTTAATTTGATTCTTGACCTTCTATTTCTTCTACTCATTCATTCAATAAATATTTAATGAGTGGTTTTTTACCCTAAGCACTGAGGACCTAATGAAGAAAAAAACAGCCTTCATGGAACACAGTAGGAAGACAGTAAACGATGAAAATGCATATCCTCAGTGTTTTAATCTCAAAACTCATCTACTTCCCTTCCTTTTGGCACATATACCCAAAGACATTTGAGGAAACAGGACCCTCAAATGCAGACACTCCAACACACATAATCATTTACCCCCTTCCCTTATCCTACTGAGTCAAATCAACCCAGCTTCTTGAGTACAACCCAAGGGACCCCTCACCTGATGTCCAAACTGGTTGCAAGGGAAGCCGAGAACCACCAGGCGCCTGGGAAAGCGGCATTGTAGCTCATTGAGCTGGGTGAAGTCCCGGGTAGTTGTGCCTCAGAGCGATGCCACATTTTCAATCAGTACTGCCCTGCCTCGAAACGTGTTGAAATCTACCTTCTCCCCATCCAGGCTGATGGCACTAAGGTCGTAGAAGGATTTAGCGATGTAAGCCATGGTGAAGCACAGAGTGAGCTCTGCCCCGTTCTGTGAGCCCACTTAAGGGTCTATCAAAGGGATGTGGAGGAAGGAAGAGCCAGGAGGACAGAAAGGATCTCACAAAGGGCCTTTGAGAGTTCCCAGGATGACTTAGCAAAAACAGGCACCCACCTGTATGCACTGTTTGAACAAGGAGGTTGCTCCTCCTCCTTAACAGACTCTGAACAAAGCTGCCTCCTGCCCCACCCTGCTGGCAACCTGGAAAGAGCCAATTTGATATCTATGAGCAGATGTGAATAATTCACTCCTTGCAGGAAACCGGAGCTCTAAAGGTCAGATGGGGAGGAAAAAAAGGGAGGGTGGTATGCAAGACTGACTGTTTGCCCCAGCAAGTTGTTTTCACTTGCCACAGGCATTTCTAGAAATAATGACTTTCAGTTCCTCAGTTATCCTAAGGCAAAAAAGATGTGTTTACCTTGCAGATTTTTTCAGAGTGGTATTCCTTGTCCTGGAGAACATTTCAGTCTTTGCCCCTGTACTATACCATCTCCTAGGTTCTGACCCCACCTCCACCATCCTCCCTCCCCCCAGTCATGAGGATGCAGTCATTGCTCAGATAATGGTAAGAAGGAGTTACAGAACTGGTGGGTAAAGTTGAGTGGACTCAGGGTAGATGAACTGCTCCTGTCTCCCTCTTATCAAAGGTTAGTCTCCAAGACTTTTCAGACCAGCCTTGTTGCTGGCCATCTTTCCAGAGGAGGGGTACAAGGACGTGATGCTGCTGTGGTTCTAGACCCAGGTAGGCCACCATGATGTCTTCAACATCAGCCATGCAATGTATTGCAAGACATTTCAGGGACTGCTGAAGACTCTCATGGGAGCCAACAAACTGAAAAGACCCTGATGCCACTTCATTCTTCCAAGCACTTGCCAACTAAACAAATCACTTTTTTAAAATGCCTGATTTCTCCATCAGTAAAAGTAGCAATTAGGCTTTTCCTGGCTTTGGGATTTTAAAGTGAAATTTCAGTAAGGCGGCAAAAGCTTTCTGGAGAGGGTTTTCACATGTAAATACCCACTGGGAACCATCTCCTAGAACAAAGAGAGCTTGAGAATCTGATTTGTTGAGGAATAGAGGAACTACTCATTAGGGAGTGCCCAGCTTTTCTTTTCTTTTTTTGATTGTACTGGGGTTTGAACTCAGCTTCACACTTGCTAGGGAAGCACTCTATCACTTGAGCCACTCCACCAAGCCCTTTTATGTGTTGGGTATTTTCGAGATAGGATCTCGTAAACTATTTGCCTGGGCTGGCCTCAGACCTTGATCCTCCTGATCTCTGCCTCCTGAGTATTTAGGATTACAAGCATGAGCCACTGGTGCCCAGCTATTCTTCTTTTTATTTTTTAGTCACCCTGTTCCCCTAATATTCAGTTGCTTTCAATGCATTTCATTATACTATCTTTCACAGATGCAATGCCAGCTTTTCTGTCTTGTTGCTTGTTCCATGACTGTTTAAGTACACAGGGAACCATGCATCTCAGCTGGCTGCTCCCCCAAAACAAGTTTCCAATTATCTAAGTGGGAATGGAATCTTTTGCCACCAGGAGGGGTGGCAAAAGTGCAAAGTGAAGTGTGTCCTCTGCTGAGGCTGGGTGGAGCCCTGGATGCAGTCAGTGTGTCCGTACCAAGCCACTGAGTCAGAAGGACTTGGCATCTGACAATGGATGAAACTTACCATTTTTTTTTCATTTTTCTTTTATTATTCATATGTGCATACAAGGCTTGGTTCATTTCTCCCCCCTGCCCCCACCCCCTCCCTTACCACCCACTCCGCCCCCTCCCTCTCCCCCCCCAATACCCAGCAGAAACTATTTTGCCCTTATTTCTAATTTTAAACTTATCATTAACTTGCAAGGTTTATGTGTCTGCTTAGCGCTTCAACCAGTACCTTGGGCTTCCAGAGAAACACCACCAGGCAGACCATAATAGGCCTGAGTGAGGAGTGGGATACATGCCCTTCCTTTTCTCCAGGAAGGACCCTCATGGGTCTCCCCAGGTTCTTTCTCACAGTTGAATAAAACTGATGAAGGCACTCCTAAAATATCTCTTCGTCTCTAAGTTTACCTCATATTGGCCCCATTTTCCAAAAGCTTTTAACTTGGGGCATGCACTAACAAATTGTTTCTTGTGGCTTTCTGTAGGAAGTGGTTGTTCTGGAAGCAGCACTGTCTTAGTAGACAGTACAGAAAAGCCTAGGTGGGTGTTTCTCAGTTCTGACTGCAAAAGAAAATTGCTTATATTTTTCTAAATAGAGATGCCAAAGCTTTACCTATAGAGATTCCAGTGCAGAGGTTTCTAGTCATAATTCTGCCTATTACCTGGGGCCCTTGGGCAAATCTTTTAAGTTCTCTGAGCACCTGTTTCCTTATCTGTTAAACACAGATGAAGATAACCACCCTCTTTCTCACATACACACACACAGATTGTTAGGATCAAAGTAGTAAAGTATCACAAGTGCTCTGTAAAGTGCAGTTAAGATCATAAGACTCGTATTTCCTTGTTTTACTCCTTTCTCCTTCTTCCTTCTATCTTTACCCTCATTCTCCACCTCCTTCATCAATTCCACATACCAAAGTATAGTATTAAATACCTAAAGTCTTCCTGAGGTTCCAGTCTGCCTCTGCCTCCTACCTCTCCTCTACCCCGCCCCCGCCCCGCAAGCAGTATCCAATCACAAATCTGAAAGATTATTCAGTCTCTCCCTGTGCCTTCAGGAAGACCTTTCTTGATTCATCCTTAACAGATGAGAACCATCTTGGCTTGAAAGACCCATTCAGTCTTGAATAGTCAGCTCCCTCCTCCCAGAAATTGTTTAATCTTATTTCTGTGATGTAAGTCCACTGCAGGGCAGTGAGGGCTTTGCATTGGGCTGTCCTGCAGGTGGCACTAGGGAAGGTACAATACAAAAAGGCTAAATTCATCACCTCCACTGTCGTTCTGCTGTTGCTTTAGGATTCTGCAGCCTCTTCTGCTCAACTGCCTCTCCTCCTCTGTCATCACCAGGGTCCCAGTGAGACATCCTCCCAAGGATTCATATAGGCAGGTATACATGTGGTTTGAAATAGTCTTTATTTTGTAAACATCTGTGTTTAAAATAGATGAATCCTGCTAACAATTCATAGAATGGACCCGAGACACAGTACACAAAATTCACCCGTCATAGGAAGATGGTGGGGCTCAGGAGCAGGTGGTGTGCCAGGGGTGAGCTGAGTCTCAAGACACAGGGCAGAGGCGGTAACAAAAAAGACAGGCCAGGAGAATCTGCTCAACAGTTTAGGCCTAATGACACAGCCCAGACCACCTCCTAGACTGGAGTGTAGAGGTGAGAGACTGACTGGTACCTGACAAGCATAGTTGCACCCTAAAATCCTAGCCCTCCTGCTGTCATACCCATTCCCAGCTATGGCCCTTGTGGAGAGGGCTTATCAGTCCATAGAATCCCAAACCTATGCTTTCCCTTCCAGAACCCTTACGGTACAGTAAAAATAGATTCTCTTTCCTCAGAGGAATAGGAAAGAAAGACAGTGGTGTTCTGCCTGATTCTCAGGGGGAGCAACAACACTGGTGCACAGGTCAGGGCCAGGCCCAATATAACTTCTTCTAGTTTAGGTTCCTGGCTGAGAGCACACTGAGAGCAAGCATGACTAGCCTGCCCATCCCCAGCATGACGTTACCTAAGCCTCAACACGCCAGAGTCAGTCCTCAGTGAAGCAGCTCCAGCCCGTCATGCCTCCACACTGAAGAGTCAGCTCTCTACAGTTCTCATTGTCAACCATGTATTACTATTTCTTTCCTTTTCCTTCATCATGCTAACCCGTCCCCCATTCCTAAATCCTGAGCCACCCTCTCCTGCTGACTCCTGGTTTGGTAAGTCAGGAATATTTTACTCCACCCTTTTGGAGGAATGGAGAAGTAGGGCCCTTCACCTTCACATGTGTGTGCCCTGGATTTAAGTCCTTGTTTGGCCAGTGCTCAGTTCTTTGCTTTGGCTCCAGCTTCAGCCATGTAGTGCAGCTTAGGAATATCCTCTTATGTGGGCCTTTCCCACATGGAGAAGGTGAGGAAGAACACTAGCAGGACTATAATTGACTTGTTTCTTCTTGAAGGGGCCTCCTTCAAACTACCCTTGAGCTACTGGGGTTAAAGTAACTTCCTGAACACAAAACTCTGGAGGAGGGCATCCTCTTCCCTCCCCCAGTAGTCACAGTGCAGTTAGCAAACCCTTAAGCCTACTCAGAGGCAAGAGGGCAACAGGAGCACTTTGTCTTGAAGGTAGAAGAGAACAGCACCAAGCACTTCTACCCACAGCCTCCTTTCCCTCTTCCTATGAAGTGTCTGACCTTCTCCCACAAACTTTGGGGCCCCAGAAAACCTAGACTGCTGAAGTCTAGGTTCTGAGAGAAGATAAGGTTACATCACCTCACCTCTGCCAGGGAGTCTGGAGAATGCTCTTCCTCCACAGGAAAAAGAAGAGGGAACCCAGGAGGCCCTGCTGCTGCCACATCCCCTCTGTTTTGCAAAATACTGTCCCTGGCCTGAACTTGCCCTTGCTCTGACCCTGATATCTATAGGCTGGTCTTTCACTTCTGAGCAGGCCTCCTTCTGGAGTGCATGGATAGCTTGACAGTATCACTGGTTCCAGGGCTGTCTTTGTCCCTATGGTACCCTCAGGCCTTAGTCCACAATATAAGTTCAGGAGCTCAGGTGAAGAGGTTGTGTATCCACTGCATGGGAGGTAGACAATAGTGGTGACTTTTTTTATTCCTGCCACCCCCTCAGCACTTTTTTGTCTTCTCTGAAGCACCTGCCTTTGAGCTCAATTCTCCAGAGGCAGGCAGGCAGCTAATCGAGGCCAAAGCTCAGGCAGGGGAACCAGTGGAGGTAGGACAGCCCAGGCTTGAGGACCACCAGGTAGAGTTTCTTTCCTACCTCACTGATCCACTTTCCCAGGTCACTGGGGAGGCAGGCCCATGGCACAAGAAGGGGCAGTGGGGAGGAGAGGAAGAAGCAGCACCCTTAACCTTTGGCCCATCACAGAGCAGAGTGGGGCATCCTCCCTGGAGCAGAAGACGGAGCATCCTTATGAGCCTGGGTCCATTCCCTCCAATAGTGTTAGGAAAGAAGGAAAAAAGAAGCTGCACCAGCAGCCATAGCAGGACATATAAGCAAAAGGGTAGGAGGGGGCTTTGATACAAAATACACTGGAAGGAAAGGGCCAGAGAAAAAGAGTTGGAGGAAGAGAGAAAGCAGAGAGGAGACAAAATGCACTGAGAGAGAAGGAGCTTTAAGTGGCCCTCACTCCAGCCTCAGCCACTGTCCAAGGAGCTTAGGGTGGTGAGATGGTGCACTTGCAGCACATTGTGGGGTCACAGCAGGCCTGTGCTAGGGAAACAGGCTGAAGGAAACCTCTCCAGGGTTCAGAGGCTGGGGACAGAGACCACAGCAGAGCTTCCTCTCAGGGCCAGGCAGGGAGAGTAGCAGCTACTGATTTAACAGGGTCACCAAATGAGAGGACAGCAGTGGGCAGAACCCAGGCTCCCCTGCTGCCCCAGGCCTCCTGAGGGAAAGGGGTTAGTGGGGGGTGCCCCACACAGTACCCTCAGCACCAGCAGGTTTTCGAAGAGTTTGCTGGACCCTCGGGTTTGCCCTCCTCCTCCTCCAGCTCTGCCAATGCCAACTCATTGCTGGCATGTGTCCGGAGACCATCCAGCTCCTTCCTATGGGCCTGTAGCACCAGCTCTGTCAGACGTGTGAAAGACTGGGAAGTTAAAGGGCACAGGTTAGTCTAGTGTCCTCTCCTCTACCCCAGCAATCCTGCAACTGCCCAAGAGCTGAGTCCCAACTTATCTTGGCTCCTGTGTGCCACTTCCTTGTCTTTCCTCCCCCTGTGCTGGGCTCAGCCAGAGACAAGGCAGCTTGTCCCCAGTGCTCTCACCTCTTTAATGTTGAGGTTGGTGCAGGCACTTGTTTCATAGAAGTCCATGCCATACTCCTTAGCCAGCTGCAAGAGAAGGACATTTCTGAAAGAGAGTCAGTGAGGGAAGGGAGGTGTCATGCTACCTGGCACATACAACCCCACTGCACTCACAGACCATGCTGTGTTGAGACAGTTATCTCAGCTGATCACTTCTCAGAAGAAACGGGGAGCTCCTTCCAAAATGTGGACTGGCAGAAAAAAAGGGAAGAAGCTCCACAAATACATCCCATTCCTCCAAGCCCCCTTTGCTCCCCAACATACACATACTATACATCAAGACACAAAATCACCAAAATGTCATGCAATGTAGCATATCAATGAGAAACAGCCATTTTTCATCTCTAGTAGCTTTAAAAATATCCTATTTGTATTTGACACACACATTTTAATAAGATGTAAACTTGTTTTTACTTAATCTATTTGCTTTATTTAATCTATTTGAGATATAAAAATTCTCCTTCAATCTCAAAAATAAATAAGTAAAAATGAGAAACATGAGTACTGGAGTCTAACAGATTCCAGATTCCAGACTGGAATACCAGTTCTGCTGCCTGACAACTGTACGACCCTGGGCAAGTTACCATTTCTCCTTAAATCCCAGCTTCATCTTCTATTAAAGGGGAATAAAAGTGTCTGTTATCCAGGGTTATGGATTGATTAAATGGGGTCATGCACCTAAGAGCACTTACTTAGCACAGTGCCACATATATAGTGATCAATAAATAGTGATTCTAGTAGGGTTTGACTCTGCTTTCACATTTTTCAATGACCATGTATTATTTTTTTATACCAAAAAATCAATTTTATTTTAAGGGCTAATGGAATGCTATTGACTGGAGAGGGAGAGGAAGACTCTTTAGGCTTTCAGAGTGGGTGGATGACTCCTGTCTCAGAATATGAATCTTTGTTTCTGTTCTCTTGGAGGATGGTCTCCCTGTATGCTAGACATTTGCTTAACACTAACTCCAGCCCCCTGTGCCCTGTGGCTTCTCTACCTGGGAGCCCTTTGTTCCCTCACTTTCCTTCCTACTATTTCCAAGAATCAGGAGAGCAGGAAATCAAGGTGTGGAGAGGGGATGGATGATGTGTTTCCTAACTGCAAAATGGTAGCTATCCCCAGATATTGTTAGCAAAGACATCAACAACTCAAAAGTCATCCTCACTAATGTGGGGATGGTCTCTTAAGCAGAGGATGAGCCTGTGTAAGAGGATGTGGACCTGTAAGAGTTGCTGCCCAAGAGGTCTTTGTTTCAGGATGGATTCTGATCATTGTCCTGAAGGACAGAGAACAAACGCCCAAGTATGCTAACTCCCCCAGTGCCTGACGGTTCTGTGGGATGTACAGGAGGCCCTGATGATGGGGAGCACACTCCTGGGTCCCTGTTCTCAGGCCTGGCCCTGGAAGTGCCACAAGATCTAAGGAGTGAAATCTACTTACCTGCTGTCCTTGCTCTCTTCCCACCTGCCGTTTCTGCTCTTCATCAGCCTTATTCCCTATAAGGATCTTCTGGACACCTTCTGGTGCATACTAGGAACAAAGAATAGGCAGAACTGCCAGTGAGAGCTCCTTTCCTTCCCATCTCCCTCATTAAAGTCCCCACTAGCCTCTGTACCACCACCAAGTTTTAGAACCTGAGGGAACCTGACAGATAGGTGTCAGGCTCCCTAAATTATGGGAGCACCCCCTTATCTGTGGTTTTGCTTTCTACAATTTGTTATTTGCTGTCAACTAAGATCTAAAAATATTAAATGGAAAATTCCAGAAACAATCAATTCATAAGTTTTAAGTAACTTTTACTATCATATGTTCTACCTTATTATTGTTGTTAATCTTTTACTGTTCCTCACTTATAAATTAAGCCTTATGTATGTATGGGAAAAACACAGGTTTGGTACTAACTGCAGTTGCAGCCATCCACTGGGAGATTTGGGAATAGGAGTCTTGGAATGTATACCTGGCAGATAAGAGGTACTAACTGTACCATAGCTGATCATAGGAGTGTCACAGGGACAGCTCAGGGTAGAAGACACTGGCTAATATTCATGCCTTTTTGGGTTGAACAAGTGGTATCTGAGTTCCAAAGGACACTGGTCTTAGTTCAGCCCTCATTCGACAGATGAGAACTGGGGATCCAGAGAACTGAAATGGCTTGCCAAGCTCTACAGGTCTGTGCAGAGCCAGGTCTAGAAGCCCAGTCTTGCAATTCCAACTGGTCCTAAAATTTTGGGAAGGAATCTGCTCACAGGGCAGGCTTGGAACTGACTACAACTCCAGGGAAGACATAGCCACAGAGGCCTCGCAGAGTACAGAGTGTGAGGGCATGGTAGCTTCGGCTTCCTCTGTATGACTTACCCAAAGATGTGCATCCAAGGCTGTAGAAGACAAGGTTTCCTGATAGCATTGACTCAACAACCCTGAGAGCTTTAGCCCTTCCCACCTGGCCCTTGTTTTGCCTTCCCCTGAGGCACCCTTCCCCACCTCTGTCAACAAGGTGGTATCTCCTACCTCATCCACATCACTGACCCACTTCATGATGTGCTGGTAAGAGCGCTCACTGCTAATGTCGTAGACTAAAAATATTCCCTGAGAGAGAAAAGAGAAAGAGATGGGGGAGGGAGGTGCACACAGAAAAAATGCATAGCATGAGGTCAGAACAGTGGTCCTTACATGTTGGGCCACTTTCCCTTCATCCTTCTTGGCATGAGAACCCCTCAGCATTCAGAAATGTTTCCTTCTCTTTCAGACCCCTGTAACTGCCACTTCCTAAGCTCATCACAGAACCTTCTGGAGTAAGAAGGCACCCATGACGGTGGGTAGAAGTTGGGGGTGAGGGTGGGGAACCTGCCCATAGTAAGTGCTCTGAGAATAACTGAGGAATAAATACTCAGCAAACAACTTCCCTGAGACTCCCTCCCCAGAAGGCAATCTGAGGCCCTATTTCAGGGCTTAGTGACACAGACATTTCAAACACCTGGAGCTGGGGGTGCGAGTGGCAGCTTCCCACCTCTAAACCCTGAAAACAGTAGCTCACCTGGGCCCGTCGATAGTACTGCTTTGTGATGGTCTGATATCTCTCCTGCCCCGCAGTATCCCTACAATAGAAAGCCAGTCTTAGAGGAGCAGGGACCATGGGGGTGGATGGGAAGGGAAGGAGCAGGAACAGGGAGCCCCTGTGTCCTTGCAGGAAAACCTGGGAGGCTTCAGCATGAAAAATCAGTGGTGCTCTGATCCCCAAGGGGATCCAAACACACTTGACCTGGTCCTCTATACTGGTACCAACTCCTGAAGGGCCTTGGCCTCTCTTTAAACTATATTTACACCAGGACCCACAACTGCAACTAAGCCTTGGATAGCTCTCTCTAGAATTTGGCCATTGAAGCCAGAGTTGGCTGGACAGGAAGATGCCGCCACACCCCCAATGCCAGGGAACCTCTGAAGGCAATGCCTATGGCATTCTGGGACTGGAAGGTAGGTCCAAACCCTGGGCAAAAGCAGTGCTTTCAATGCCTTCAGGCCAGGGAGCCTCAGCAGCCCCTGGTGGCTACTGGTGGAAACTGCACCATGTAGTACTGAAACTTCACCAGGTCCTACAAGCCTTAACCAGTGTGGCACAGCCCCAGGGTAAAAACCCTAATACTAAAATAAACCCATAATGGTCACTTTACCAATTCCTTCTAATTCCTGCCCTTTGTTGATGGGTAATCAGTCCCATAAAGTTTGTTAAGAGATAGGAGATTAAGGCTCATGAAAGCAGGAGATGGACTTTTTGAGTTCTCGCCTTCATATAGAGGTGACCAGTTACCCCAGATGAGGCCTAGGAATTTTACACATGACAGTGGCAGCTGAGGAGCAGCATAGGAGCCTCTCCTCCTACACTTGCCTTCTCTTACCCAACTCACCAAATCTGTATCCGCACTTTGATGCCATCTACCTCTATGGTCTTCATCTTAAAGTCAACACCTGGGGAAAGCAAGCAAGCAAGAAAGTTAGGAAGGGGGTTGGGGGGCATGGCTCAAGTGGCAGAGTGCCTGCCTAGTAAGTCAAAGCCCTGAGTTCAAACTGCAGTACCATCAAAAAAACAAACAAACAAACAAAAAAAAACCCAAAAACAAAAGGAATCTGTTGAGAACTGCTTAGGAAAGGGCCCAAAACACAAGTGAAGGAATTTCTTTTTTATTTAAAAAGAGGATGACATGCAGTAAGGGCCTTCTTTAACCATAACTGACCCTAAGGAAGTATCCAGAGCTTTGAATGGGGCTTCCACTTAACTCCCAGCTATACCCTGGGTTCCTTGCTTTTCTGTGTCTCTATTTCCTTAGCAGTAATTATGAGTTACCCCAGAGTGTTACCGGGAAGAGATACATCACCTGCCTGCATACACTGCTGCAGCTATCCTTAGCTAGTAGTAGTACAGAGCCTGCCATGAAAAGGTGCACATGAGTGACTGTCAGATGACCAAAGGAAAACAGTGGCATGGCATGTCCTTGGGGGAGGTACAGGAAGCAGGCCCAAGGTTCTGTGGAGCTAAGTTGCCACAAGACACATGAAACACAAGGGGTTTGGCAAGCCAGCCCTAGGCAGAAACATATTTGCGAAAATTTGCAGCAAGAGAAGTCAGCACCACTAGCAGCAACAGGATTGACTGTTAAGTGTGGACAGATGAGTCCCCAGTCCCAGCTGTGCCCAGACATTGTGCTCAGTGACTCAAGAGCTGTGTCTCAAAGGGTAATTAAGCTGAAGTGTTTGTGTATATTTCCTGGAGGCAGGTCAGGAAGGGGCGTCATGAGCCACAGCTTTCAGATGGGAAACATGGCCATTATAGCCACGGCAGGATCCAAGACAGAATTCTGGACAGTCTATCACCAAGCTGCACAGCCAGCTCAGAAGGCCACAGAAGTGCTAGCATTCTCAACACCACTGCTGTTCTACTTCGATAAAAGAGCTCTGCTGAGGAGGAAAATATGTCCCTGTATCTGTCCTGTCCCCAGCTTTAAACAAACATAGATTAAATTCAGTCTCTTCACTCCCACTATCAAGAACAATCATCGTTTAATTAGAAGGGAGAAAAAGATTCCAAATGGATGACCTGAACTAAATCAAGTTGGTTGGCTGTGAATCATTTTTCTCCAGCCTAAGCTGATTCGTATCTATTGAGCTGTACTTTTCCAAATGGGTACTGTCTGGCAAACACTCTTCCTGTGTACAGAGAGGATGAAAAGAGTGAGGGAAAAGGACACCTGACCTTGGTGGGAGGTAGGAGCATGTTTTCTCCTTCCCTGGACAAACAGTTATAAGGAATTTGCTTCTCCCAAGACCTGGCATAGAAGGTAATCACGAAGTCCTTGTTGTTTGACGGCATAGTGCCAGAATTTTTTAAAAGAATAAACCTAGCTCATCTTCATATTGGTCTGGTCAAGAATAGTGTCTTACACAGGTGGTCATAAGGAGAGGGAGGAGATAGAAGGTTTTATTTCCTTTAATTCAGTGAACATTTATGGGAACTTAACTGTGTACTCTACACAGTGCTTGGTGGAAGACAGAGCAGCAAAAAAAGACATATGGTTCTTGCCCTTACAGAGCTTAGCAAAAAGAAAACAAATGCCAGAGAAGCAAAGAACTAGCCCAGTTTTGGCACAGCATGTAGCAGAGATTCAAACACAGGTATGTTTGATGCACGTGCACATGCACTATTTCTTGGAGGAATGAGGAGAGTAATGTGTCAACTAGGCATAAGAGTCTTAACTATACTTCATTTCCTAGTTCCCTTTGGGTCCTTGAAGAGGAAGGGCTCTGCTGGGAAAGAAGCTTCCAAGAGTTAAGGGTATTTTTTTTCCCTGTGAGAGAAGAGGGAAAGGAGGGAGAGCTGAAAGCTATTATAAGAGGCAGAAGGGACAGGCAGATATGGAAATGAGTGCTGGGCCTTGCTTCCTTCTCACCTCTTCCCTCATTTCATGTGGCCATGAGCCAAGACCAGGGAATTCTGGGGCTCCCAGCAATACCCCACCTATCTTGCAACCTAGGCTGAGTTGACTACCCAATAAAATTTGTTTTAACATGTCTGAGAAGTAAAATGCTTCAGTTTGGGCCATTTATATGCATTATTATGGAAGAAATATTAAGCCCATGCCTCTCTACTCTCCTTCAAGAGATTCCCATACATGCTTAAGTTTAATAATCATTTGGGCAAAAACTTTGCACCAAGGTGTCAAGAGAGGCAGCATGGGTGTACATATTTTCTTGATGTGTACTTTGTAGATCTCAGCTTTAGAATTACCTTGGGAGTTATTCTGTTTGCTTTTTTTAAATGTAGCTACTTTAAAAAAGTAAGTAAAATGCAGCTACCTTGACTTGTCTACATCTACTGAATCATAATCTGATGAGGCCCCAGAAAATATTTTTAACAGCAGTGAGGGGGTAGATAGAGAGCCCAATGTAGTGAAAGAGGCATCTATTGGCATTAGAGCCAGAAAGACTGAGCTCTAAATCCTGGTTTGGACACTTGTGTGACAGAAGGGAAGTCTTCTCCTAGCTTCAATTTTCTTATCTGTAGAATTGAGAATACCACTTGCCTCCAAAGGTTTGTTGTGGGGATACAATTAATGTATGCAAAGCACCTGACTCACTCCTACCTTCCGTCAGCTGAATAAAGGCTCCCTAGGAGCAGTCAGGAAAGCAGCCTCAGAGAACCCTGATGAAAATGGAATTCTGCCGTGTAGTCCTAGTCTAGTCCCTCACCACTCTACTACTCTTGCTAAACTAGGAACTAGTGACATGAACCTCCTCAGAGGGCTTTACCGATACAATCCTCAGGGCTCCCCCAGACCTACCAAGACTTATGCATACTGAATCTCTGTCTAGCTCATCTTTAGGCAGAACCACACCCAAAGCTTCACAATAATACTTGTCTTTAAACCACACCCCTTAGCTAAGGAATCTCTATGAAGTAAGAGTATTATTATTGTGAGGCACAGAGAAGCCAACTTACTCTTGTCCCCACATCCTGTAGCTAAGCCCAAACTGGAAAACTGGTCTCTTAAAACCTATCCAGAAAGCTCCTGACTTGACAGTGGTTTCCAACCATTTGAGGCTGAGAAATCACTGCATTTTCATTCACACCTATTCTGGTATTTTGAGGCATGTAGAAGAGAGATAGTGGGCACACGTGGAGCCAGTCCACCTTTCCTTCCCTTCCCTTTTTCCTTCCCTTTCCTTATTTGAATGTTTGTGTTCCCCTCCTCCAAGATCATATGTTGAAACAATCCCTAGTGCAGTGATGTTGGGAGATGGGGCCTTTGGGGCGTAATGAGGTCATGAGGTCAGGGTCATCATGTATGGGGTTAGAGCCCTTATAAAAGAAGCCTGAGGGAGCTTATCATCCCCTTTCTCCCTATGCCCTGGGAGGACACCACTAGAAGGCACCACCTTTGTAGCAGTGTGTGCTCACCAGACACTGAACCCGCTCACAACCTAATCTCAGACTTCCCAGTCTCCTGAAATGTAGGCAATACATTTCTGTTATTTATAAATTGCCAGTCTAATATACTTTGTTATAGCAGCCCTAAGACACCCACCATAACCTATTTTAAGGGAACCCCTTGTTCTTTAGGATTCTTCATGATTCCAATAAGCCCACGTGTCACCCCGACAGAGCTACTTCCATGTCCCTGCATGAGAGAGTACAGAAGTGAGAAGAAACAAGCAAAGGACCTATGTACAGCACCAGCAGAGGTTCTAGGAGCCCTGGGAGGAAGAAGTCAGTAAGATGGGGCCTCTCCCAATCAACTGCTCAAACCCTGGCAGGCAGCCCATTGCTTTCTCCCAGTGAACAGGATATGTCCGTCATGGTGTCTGCCACAGCCAGAGCCTTTTCTGGCTAAAACTGCTAAAGCAGGGCTGGGTGCAGTGTATTCTTTGTGGAGAAGCAGCTTCTGGCTAACCCATCAAGGCCTTGCCAGTACCCATAGTGACTGGCCAAGAAAGGCAAGGAAGGTTACCTAAGCCTATCAAACCAATTCCCTCCAAGACAGCCTTGGAGCAGCAGTCCCAACTATTCAGGAGGTGGACACAGATTAAGATTGCTTAAGTCGAGGAGTTCAAAGCCAGCCTGGGCTTACAGCAAGACCCTCTATAAAAAATTTAAAAAATATAAAAAAACCAGTTCCAGATGGGGAAGGAGGGCTGGCCAAGTCATAACAAACAGAACATGAGACAAACCAAAATATGCAGAGAGAACAGAGATTTGTAAAGAGGATAAACATGCCAGAGTTGGGGTGCTGGATCCTAGCACTGCAGTCAGTCCAAGCCAGACAGACCCCAAGTTCAGCCCCTGGGGGTCCTTTTCTTAGTGACACCTGAGAGGGCCTCAGACCTGCCAAAGGATTCACAGCCTGTGACTGTCCACTGCTGCCTAATTGTTCCCCAAGCTGGTGGACAAGATGCTTCAACTACAGGGCTGGGAGGAAGACTTTGAAAACAACACTCCCTGCTCCTAACCGTCTTTTTTTTTTTTTTTTAACCTGTCTTCTACCCCTACTTTGGCATTAAGTAACTAATGAGAAGAGAATATATGTGTTTGGTCAAGTTTTTTGCTGCTGCTGCTGTTTGCTTTTTAAGTCTCTGTGTAAGAACAGTGCCAGGAATAAAGTAGCGATTCCACAAGTGGAATCCACCTGTCCCAGAGAGATAAGGGCCCATGGCTCCAAAGCAGGGCCATGTATCCTGCCATCTGAATATCTCAGACAATGGCAAACAAAAACAAAAACAAAAAAACAAAATCCTCCTCAGTTAAACACCAGTACCAAGTCCTGATACATCTGTGGATGTTGCTGCCCTTGCCATGCGACTGGTCTGAGGCAGCCCCAGTTTTCTTGTGTTCCCACTGTGTCCTGGCTGCACAGCTTCTACCCCTCCAGCAGCAACTCCCAGCAATTGCTGGGCCACAACTGGAGTACTGGAGTGGA